AGCCCGTGTTCCACCGCCGGCAGCCATTGCTCTGTGGGGATAGCCCTCTCCCCAGCTCCTGGCAGCCATTCCTCTGTGGGGATATCCCATGTCCCACAGCTGGCAGCCATTGCTCTGTGGGGATAGCCCGTGTTCCACCGCCGGCAGCCATTGCTCTGTGGGGATAGCCCATGTCCCACCGCTGGCAGCCATTGCTCTGTGGGGATAGCCCTCTCCCCACCCATGGCATAAGAACGACCATACTGGGTCAGACCAAAGGTCCATCCAGCCCAGTCTCATGTGTTCCAACAGTGGCCAATGTCAGGTGCCCCAGAGGGAGTGAACCTAACAGGCAATGATCTAGGGTTACCATACGTCCGGATTTTCCCGGACATGTCCGGCTTTTTGGGCCTCAAATCCCCATCCAGGGGGAAATCCCCAAAAGCCGGACATGTCCGGGAAAATAGGGAGGGAGGGCCCGGCGGTGTTCGGGCCGGGGCCGCTGGGACTGGGGCCAGCGGTGCGGAGCCGGCGCGGTGCTCGGCAGGGGCTGGGGCCGGGGGTGCTGGGCCGGGGGCCGGCGCGGCGCTCTGCCGGGGGCACAGGTGCTCGGCCGGGGGCCGGGGACGTCGGGGCCAGAGCCTGTTGGCCTGGGCCGGCCGGCCGCCAAAGGGAGCCGCTCAGCCAGGGCGGCTGGGCTGGACTGGGCCACGCCGCACCCCGCCCCAGCCCCAGCTACCTGCTGCCTCCCTGTTTCAGGCTTCCCGCGAACATTTGATTCGCAGGAAGCAGGGGAGGGGGAGGGGCAGGGGGCGGAGCGTTCAGGGGAGGGGGCAGAGTTGGGGCGGGGCTGGGGGCGGGGAAGGGGCAGAATTGGGGCGGGGCCAAGCCCCCTTGGAGTGTCCTCCTTTTTAAAAATTAAAATATGGTAACCCTAAATGATCAAGTGATCTCTCTCCTGCCATCCATCCCCACCCTCTGACAAACAGGCTAGGGACTAGGATGACCAGACAGGAAATGTGAAAAATCAGGACAGGGGGTGGGGGCTAATAGGAGCCTATATAAGAAAAAGACCCGAAAATCGGGACTGTCCTTATAAAATCGGGACATCTGGTCACCCTACTAGGGACACCATTCCTTACCTGTCCTGGCTAATAGTCATTAATGGACTTAACCTCCATGAATTTATCCAGTTCTCTTTTAAACCCTGTTATAGTCCTAGCCTTCACAACCTCCTCAGGCAAGGAGTTCCACAAGTTGACTGGACGCTGTGTGAAGAAGAACTTTATTTGTTTTAAACCTGCTGCCCATTAATTTCATTTGGTGACCCTTAGTTCTTGTATTATGGGAATAAGTAAATAACTTTTCCTTATCCACTTTCTCCACATCACTCATGATTTTATATACCTCTATCATATCCCCCCTTAGTCTCCTCTTTTCCATTGCTCTGTGGGGATAGCCCTCTCCGTACCCCCGACAGCCATTGCTTTGTGGGGATAGCCCTCTTGCCACCCCCGTCAGCCATTGCTTTGTGGGGATAGCCCTCTCCCTACCCCCGACAGCCATTGCTTTGTGGGGATAGCCCTCTCCCTACCCCCGAGCAGCCATTGCTTTGTGGGGATAGCCCTCTCCCTACCCCCGACAGCCATTGCGCGGATACACTGTTCTGCAAATGGATGAGTTGATTAACAGGTGCCGCAGGCTGCCAGTAGCTTCTTGCCCTGAGGCCAGTGCTGGTGCAAGAGAAAAACGAGCAATGCATAGGTGAGATGGTGGGTTTTGCCACCAGCTCTGCGAAGAGGTCGGGTTTCATTAATGGCTATAGCTTCAGAGCCAGCCCCCCAGATCCCAAATTGCCGCTGGCAATAGACAGAGACTGCAGTGATCATGTGAGGTGCAGGGGGTGGGGCATTTTCAGGCCTACCTGAGGAAAGCAGAGGGGAGCTGGGAAGTTTCTGAGTTTATTATTTTAAAAGAGACAATTCCTGAGGCGGGAACGTCAGGAGAGCGAGGATGGCAGCAGCTCACCCAGAACAGACCTGCCTGGGCCCCACCAGCCTCCTCCCCAACACCAGCGAGACAGAAGCAGTGTTGGTGGCTCTGGTTGGGCTGCTGAGATGAGGGGAGAGGGGCCCCATTAGCATAAATTAGGTTCACTGCAGGGAAAACGTTGCCCTCACCCCAACGCACGTGATTATTTCAGGTTTAAGATTCAAACATATACAAAAATATGGCTCTGCCGGCTGACTGCTGAGTGGGGGGGGGGACTGCCTTACCCTCTCCTAACCTCTGGGGTTGGGGAACAGCCATATTATCCCTATTCATCCTCCCACCCACTCTCCTGCCTGCTACACAGTTCACGCCCCTCTCCCCGTGGTCCCCAAGTCTCCTGTCACACCTTCCCCCACTGTTTCACTCCATTTTCCCTTCAGACTCTCCTTGGCTTCTCCCTTCTGCCCCCCACGCTTCCCTGTCCAGATTTTAAACCAGAGCGCCCAGAGCAGGGGTGGCCAACCTGAGCCAAAGAGCCACAGTAATACGTCAGCAGAATCCCATCAGCTCCCTCCCCACTCTCAGCACCTCCTGCCCACCGGCAGCCCCGCGGATCAGCGCCACCCCCTCCCTCCCCACACCTCCCGATCAGCTGTGCCGTGGCGTGCAGGAGGCTCGGTGGTGGGGGGAGGAGCGAGGGCATGGCAGGCTCAGGGGAGGGGGCGGGAAGGGGTGGAATGGGGCCAGGGCCTGTGGCAGAGCCAGGGGTTGAGCAGTGAGCCCCCCCCCCAGCACATTGGAAAGTTGGCGCCTGTAGCTCCAGCCCCAGAGTCGGTGCCTATACAAGGAGCCGCATATTAACTCCTGAAGAGCCACATGTGGCTCCGTAGCCACAGATTGGCCACACATGGCCCAGAGAGTGGCTATTTTCCCAGAAGGCAGCATGGCTTCAATGCCATTGGAAATAATGGTAGACAGCAGCCATCTTCATTAGGGGCAGCCTCTTGCAAACTGTCAACCATTTATGGAAAAATTGGGAGATTGCTGCTGCCAGAAAGTCATGAGATGATGAAGTGGGTTTTAGCCCACGAAAGCTCATGCCCAAATAAATGTGTTAGTCTCTAAGGTGCCACAAGGATGCCTCGTTTTTGCTGATACAGACTAACACGGCTACCCCTCTGAAACATGAGATGATGAGTAGCTTTAAAAACACCCAGCTCATTCACCAACCTCACAATGAACGTGAGCAGCTCGGGGCACACAGGAGCTGGGTAAATTCAAGTTCTCTGCAGCGGTCTTCATTCCCCAGCAATAGTTCTTGTTGCCCCTCATGCTCAAGATTGACTAAACTTTTCACTCCAGTCCACTGTGCATAGGGCCCTGTTGTGAGATGTTCCCTTCAGGACTCCAGTCCCTGATCTGTATGGAGCCGGTCGTGCCTGGAAACAAAATCCTGAGAGTCTGTAGTCTAGGAGAAGCACGTTGCACAGCAGCGGCAGCTTCCCCTACTCTGCAAGCACCAGGGGTGGTGGGGTAGGGGCTCAACCCTAATTGATCAGCAACATAACAATGAAACAACGTTAACCGGGACGACTTAAAGTGCAGAGTTACTGTACTTGGTTGTTCTAAGAATGAGGCCAGTGAATCAATATAGGTCATGAAGGACTTAGTACTGCAAGTGATTCAGTCGCCTGGACATTTGATGACAGTCTCTGTTTCATATGTTTCACAAACTCCAACATGAAATCTCGACACCTACTTCTGACATCTTGGACAATGGGAATGATTACTGTGTATTTTAAAAGTTCCAACTAAAAGAGACTCCAAAATCAATTGCACAAAATGGTGTTATTTGACTCCAAGGCGATGTCGTAGTTCAAGACAGCAGTCTGTTTTCAGAACCCCAGCGTGGGCAACTTAACTATTTCACACCAGGCGGTGTCAGGAATAAATCAATGGGAAGACAGCAATTCTGTCTGATCAAGGATTAAATGAAAGTAAGCACGTTCTTGTCTAACACTGCAGTTTATTAGATTTAAGTGCACACAGACATAAGGAATAGGTTTAGAACATCCCAGATATTTACCTAACAGCTGGAATGGTATTGAGTAATTAGCAGCATGTTCTCAGTGGCCAGTTGCTCACCAGCTGGGGAGAAAGGGTGTCAGGAAAAAGGTCTTTCAAGATGGCTTCAGAGGACTCCTCCAAACTACACTGTATTAGCTAAATTTGTATAACTTCTACAAAAGACATAGGTCATAGTGACCCCTACTCGATCATCACTTTTCCTAACTTTCAATAAACGTCCAATATCAAAGGCATCCAGACTGAAGGTTTTCATCCACTTATCTGCTTTCATTCTCACTTATCTATTTGTCTGTCCACTCCTCCCATTCTGATTAGCGGAAACTGCCAGCTAGATTTTGACCTTGCATTTAAAAGCCTGCTTTCCAATTAACCCTATACTACGTAATGTTCTATTTTATTAATTCATAGTGGCTGAGTGCACATCATATGGTTGCAATTGGCTTGATCACTCTCTGGGATACACATCCCTCAAATACAGGGTACACAGTCCAGTTCTCAAAAACACACAGTTTCACAACTCTCACCAATAAGCTCTAGTAGAATGTCCTCAATTCCTGCAGCAGAGTTCCTGTAGTAGCACTTTCCAATGAAAAAATTGGTTTACCCTCCTGATTTCCTGAAAGATTGGATGAAGGAAAATGAGGCAAATTTAGGTCACCGGATCACTGTATATATGACAAAGAAGTTCAGCACTGTAGTTGCTTTCTTTCTCTTTGGCTATCAGAAAGCATAGCTTCAGTTCATCAAACTGATCAAGAAAGCTGCTCACAAAAGGTCTAATGGAAAGTCGCCTTGCTTCAGTACGCAGAAGAATCTTCTGGTGGTCTGGAAGTCATGGAAAGGACGAGTGACAGGATGTGCGGAGATGGGGGCTGATGGGTGATGTTGAAAGAGATCAGGTGATGGTCAGAGAGAGGGAACTCAGCAACGGAGAGAGCAGTGCTTGGTGATGGAGTGATGTTAGGTTTGAAGAGCTTCTCAGACTGCAAACTTCCACAATGTTGAGCTCAGCCAAACTGGGACAGAGTGCCCTTGATTAAGGAGGAAGTATTCTTTCCCCCTCTTGTCACACAGGATTAAAGTCAGTGGTCCCCAGGCGAGCACATTCTGCAGGTGTATTTGCCCAGTTTCTCAAGAAGCTCTTTGTTTTTGACGCCATAAATGATAGGGTTCAGCATGGTGGGGAGGAGGAAATAGAGGTTGGCCAAGATGATGTGAACATGGGGAGCGATGCCCTGACTGAACCGGTGTGTCAGAGTGGAGAAGAAGAAGGAAGGATAGGACATCAGCATCACACAGATGTGGGCTGTGCAGGTGTTGAGGGCTTTCTGGTGGGCTTTCTTGGAAGAGATTCTGAGGACAGCCCTGATGATCAGACCATAGGAGAGGCCAATGAGTGTCAGGTCTAACATGTTGACTACAAATGGTATTACCAAGCCGTACATCCTGTTGACTGTGATGTCCCCACATGACATCTTCGCCACAGCCATGTGGTCGCAGAACGTATGGGGGATAATGCGGTTGGCACAGAATGGCTGCCTGATCAGGAGCAGGGGCAGGGGCAGAACAAAGAGAACAGCTCTTATCAAACCCACTAGCCCTAGCTTAGCTATTCGTGCATTGGTGAGGATGGTGGTGTATCTCAGAGGTTTACATATGGCAACATAGCGATCAAAGGCCATTGTCACGAGGACAGCTGAGTGCATCACAGTACCTGCATGAAAGAAGAACATCTGGGTGAGGCAGCCACCCAAAGTAATACCTTTCATATTAAACCAAAATATACACAGTGCCTTCAGCACAACGGAGGTAGACGTGCCGATTTCTGTGAGCGCCAGCATGCAGAGCAACAGGTACATTGGCTTGTGCAGGGTCTGCTCTTTGCCCACGACAAACAGAACCATGACATTTCCCAACAGGCCGATAATGTAGAGCGTAGTGAACGGGATGGAAATCCAGACATGGACAGCTTCCAGGCCAGGGATGCCCATTAGGATGAATGTTGAAGGGTCAGAGGGGGTGAGGTTGAAAGATGCCATGAGGTGGTAGATGTGTCGATCAGGCTCAGAAATGCTCAAGGTGCCTGTGAAGGGAGAGAAGCACAGCAAGGGGGGTTACACAATTTATAACAAATAGTAGGTTAAATATTTTATAGTTATTATCAATCTAGAAAAGGGGGTGAGCAGTGAGGTGGCAACATTTGCAGATAGCACCAGATTATTTACGTCATAGTCAAGTCCAGACAAGTCCTCAGAGGGATATCACCAAGCCAGGTGAATGGGCAGCATGATGACAGATGAACTTTCATGTCAATAACTGCAACATGTATGCCCATTGGAGGGAAAAGCTTGAACTCCTCAAACATCTAACAAGGTTCTAAGTTAACTGTATGAACTCAGGACATTAATCTGGGCATCATAGTACATAGCTCAGACAAACCCTGCTCATAGTGCATGCCTGGACAGAAACTAAGTAAAACATTGGGATCCAGGAGGAGTGGGATGGGGAATCATACAGAAAATACAACTCCATGAGATCAGTCAATGTTTCACCCTCATCTGGAGTCTTCTGCGTAGCACTGGGCGCCCTTCTCACATAGGATAATGCAGACTTACAGGGGTTCAGGCAAGGGCAACAAGAAGGATCAAGGACCCCAAGAAACTCTCATACAGAGAAAGGTTGAAAAGACTGGGATTGTTACCTTACAAAGGAGAGGAAGAAGAGGGGATATGAGAAAATTCTATAAAAACCTGAATGGTAGAGAATAGATTGAGAATTTCCCTGTCTCATAGCACAGGATCAAGTGGACATTCATTTAAACTGAAATGTGGCAAATTCAAAACAGATAAAAACGAATGCTTTCTTCACTCTATGCCTAATTAGACTGAGGAACTCATTTCCACAAGAGGTAGTTGAGGCCATGAGCCAAGTAAGAATCAGGAAGGGATGTACATTTTCATGGATAGTGAGACTATCCAGTTACAATAGTTACAGCTAAATAAATATTTTAGAAAGTCTATATGCCCATGTGTTTCAGGGCACAGTGTTAGGCATTAGGGTGTCACTCTCAGGATGGTTAAGTAATCCCCCCGCCCCATCCACCCACTGCTGGGTTTCTTACACCTTCTTCTGCAACACCTGGGGCTGTCACTTTAAGACAGCAAAGAGTCCTGTGGCACCTTATAGACTAACAGACATATTGGAGCATGAGCTTTCGTGGGTGAACATGCATCCGACGAAGTGGGTATTCACACATGACAGCACAATCG